ATTCTTTCCCCTTAAAGGATCAAATGTGCAGTTGGGACATGTTTCTTGAACAAGTCTTGTCGGTATTGTGAGTAACTCAGCTGAGGCTAGTGTCCCAGATCAAGCTCATTCTTGCTTATAGATAATATAACCACAGATACCATGCTCTGGCAACCTCTTGATTTGGTTGCCTTTAAAGATCATTTTGAAAATTTGCTAGTGCATAATCCAGATTCTTACATAACTTTGCTGCTTATCACCCATTTCCAAGATTAAGCTGAAGTGCCAGTATTTATCTTTAAAAGTGCTACATGCTTTAAAACCAAGCTATCGGAAAAAAGACTTATCCCACTGTGCACGTGTATCATGACTGTCATTTGAAATAATTTTTACATCTGCCATGGGACACTGCAGCTGCAATGACCCAGTTACAATCTTTAAGGAAAGTTTGACTAGCGTCTACCTTTTCTTCTTTTGCAATGCCAAACAAGCCCTCCCCCTCTTTTTAAACATTTTTCCAGATTTTTAATGTTAAGATCTTTTATTTATATGGCACTCAGCCTGTCATATAACATAGGTGAAACAATTAGGGATAATATTTTTTCTTCATGGTGTTTATTGACAAAATGGAGATTGTCTAATTCTTAGTGATTCTTAGCAGAGAAGATACGAAGCAATGCAGTATATTCTTTAACTAAAGAAGGTCTGGCTGTTTTATTATTGTGTCATCTAAATCTTCTGTTGTTGGTTATATTTAAATCTTTAAATCTTGTTCTTGATTATTCTCAAGAATCTATTTACCACTGACACATTTTAATTTGATCTTTCTTTCTAATTTCATGAGAGAATACACTCTAAAAATTTTGTGTTAATTTCATAATAAAACCATAAATCATATCTGCCTTGTTCTAGTGACCTCTTATTTATTTTATTTTATTTATTTAATATCCCATTCTTTCTCCAGAAACTAAAGGTAGTCTTCTGACTCCTCCATTTTATTCTCACAGCAGCCTTGTGTGGTAGAGAGAAAGTGAATGGCCCAGCATCACCCAACAGATTTCCTGAGGAGGGTTTCAGTTTTATTTTCCCCCATCCTAGAGCACTAGTTTCACTGGCCACAGAGCACATCTTTCGGTTGTCTGTACAAATACTGCATAGCAGATGATACCACCTAGACATGTTTGACTTCGGCTCCTTTCAACCTATCTAACATAGCCATTGGTAAAGGATTGTGGGAGCTCCCAGAACATCTGGAGGATACCAGATTGCCTAGAGCCTTCAGGAATATTGGCATTAGAGTGGATGGCTATTGCTCAGGCAATGAATCTTGGTATTGCAATTGGACTGCCAGGAATGTGGAATATTTCTATTATTGGGCTGTTGCTCTGGGAATTTTGCAGCAGGGTAAATGGCAATAAATTTATTCATTTTTTCTTCAAAGATGATCTAGTGGTCTAAAGTGCCCTGTGTAGTGGTTGACTATTCAGGGGATTGATTTGGAAAGGGTACCATTTGATGCTCTGTCTCTAGCAGTACAATAATTTGGGCTACAGAACAGGGGAATGGGGAAGGGGTGCAAATGACTCTTTGGGACATGCTTAAAATAAACACCATACAAAAAACTATAAGCAGAGACAGAAAGAAATGTGGGAAATACCTGCAAATTATGCCCTTCTAAATAATATATTTTATTCCCTTCTGCCCTGCCCCCCCCCCGCCCCTCATTTCATTCCCAGCAGAAATCCTCATACAATTCTTATCTTTTCACTATCTTTATTAGAGCATGAGTTGTAGGAGGGCAAATGATTAGCCTAGTGACCTTCATTGCCAACTGGGTGAATTGGACTTTGTTCTCATTGTTGATGTCTCACTGGCTCCTAGTCATGGTGGTTACATATTACCACCAGTATCAGAGGCAGAATATCTCTAAATACTTGTTGCTGGGAAGAGGAACAGGAAGATGCTGCTATAATTCTGTCATGCTATGGCCTTTCATTGGTTAAACAACATGGGTTTAATAGGCCTTTGCATTAGATGAACTTTGTGGCTCCCTCCATCGTGGTTTCTCTGAGGTTGACACATGCACACACTGTTTTAACACAATTGTCCTTTTCTAGCTGATTTTGAAACCATATTCACACAGAAGACTCCTCCAATTTTATTTATTTATTGGAGCTGCCCATAATTTTATACCCATGACAACCGCATTGTGAGATGGGTTAGATTAAGAGAGAATGACTGACCTGTAAGCTGGGTGACACTTTGGTTTTCTTCTGCTGAGTTTATTATTTTCTTTCTTCTATCCCAACTTTAATCACCTCTGGCCAACTTTTAACTATAGCACACTTAGAAGAGCAAATTGGAGTAGGGACAATTATTGACGTGCTCCCCCTGGCCATTTCTCTACCATGCACTGAGAGTGGATCCCTTCTGTCTGCCTCGCTTATGTGAAACTTACCATATCTGAACTGCAGAAATCCAGATGATTACATGATGGCGGCAGAGTTAGCATTCTGTATTTCTTTGTTGCCATCTAGTGGTCATCTGGGTTGTTGCAGCCCAGGTAGGATAACCCTGCCTTCATCTGAACACCTGAGACCCAGCAGGGATTGTAGCCTCACTCTGCATTTCTGTCTTCTGAAATGCAGCAGAAGGAGCCAGTCCTCCCATTTGTTCTTCCAATTACAAACAAAGGAAGAAAGGGAACATACCCACACTTATTTCCTTTACCTGACTGAGATAAAAAAAGAGCCTCAGGCCTCTTTGCTGTTTTTCTATTTTTAAGCATACAGTCTGAAGCTATGGTTACCATTCATCCCCCAGTGCGCATTGTCCTATTTTGCCTAGAAGGTTTTACTCCTAATCCTGTTAGAGGGATTATTTGGCAAATACCTGAGGACTGGCAGTGTTCCAGCTTCCAGAATGAAGCCAAATCTGCACAGCTGTTGTCATATGGTTGATGTCAGCCCTTCAAGGTAGACCAGATTAGAAAACCAAAGTCATGTAGGCCAATATATTTTTATTGTAAGGTTATAGTAACAGAATCTTGCAAGCCTCCTCCCCCGCATCTTCATGTGAACCAGGGAGGAGCCTGTCTGAGATATTCACATATACTACATTCCTGCCCCAGACTCAGGTTTCTTTTATCTGACTGTTGCCTTGGCAGCAGCTCTTCTTCCTGTCCTTCAAGGCCAGTCCTTCAAGGCCATTTCCTCTGTCCTGTATCATTCAGGAAACCATAGAATATTTGAATTGCTATTGAGAACTTTTCCAGTATTTCCATCCTTGCCAGGATAAAGTACATTAATGTTTTTCAGTAATATTTGAAATAAATATTTAACATGCCACTTGAAAATGTAGAATAATAAAGAGTAAATGGATTGATTAGATACTTTTTAAAATTTGCTATTGTTCTTGCAAGTATTTTTTTTAAATTGGTTTGAAATTTGGCTCATTTATAAAACTCAAAAATTATGTAAACTGATTTTCAAATTACACTGTTACTAAAACTTTAATAATCTTGTTCAGTATCTCACAAAATAAATTCACATTTATAATTTTATAACATTAGTGTATGTGCTGCCAAAGCGAACACCAGTTCTGTAGTGGTATCTGTCCCTGTGACTCTGGTGCCATCACACATGTTCTCTTATGTCCTCTGTCAGGATATAAGGAAAGAACTGATAAACATTACAGGGCTTTTGAGGTTCCCAGGAAGAAATGATTTTCTGTAACTTACTGTTTGCCACATGTGAGCCTGGATATAATTAAAACAGTGGCAAAATTCTATTAAAACAAGTGCCCAGTTATTGTTGATATACCTGCACAGACAGTTCTAAGATAATTTTATTTAAATATCATATTTTGTGGAATGGCTAAAGACTCTAATAAAATTCATTCTTATCTTTGGATTTTTTTTTAAAGATAGAGCCCAGTTAAGTTATTGTTTTAAAACACTAACTTTGTTAGTATTCTTAGTCATGTTTGAGCAGGGTTTACATGGTGGGATAGTAGAATGTTAGCCGAAGGCGAGAGAGGGAAATTGGAGAGTGCCATGAAGATTATGAAAGGATTGGATGTAAATGGAGTAGCAGGGAAAGAAGTTTGAAATGGATAGAAGATAGTAAAGAAGTTTTGGATTTGGGAAAAAAGTGAAGCAATGCACTGGATTCAGAACTGGATGTGAGTGGATAGCTTCACAGAGCCCTTGGCGAAGGATGGGATGCTTCAGCTGCAGCCCGGTCTGTGCAAATGGTTGGCTGAGGACCGTGAAAGAATGTGGCTGCCCTGTTAGTGATGAGGAGAGCTTCCCAGCTGAGGTCCAAGCCCAAGTTTATAAATACTTGGAAGTATCCTGGAAGCCTCATCCTGGAAGTATCAGTGAGAGAGAAAAGGACTGGAGACAGACAGGAGTTTAGAGCTGGAAGTAAAGCAGATGAGTCAGGAGGAATGAGGTAGAGAAAGTAGCTGGTGTAGCAGTTGTCTTTAGCATTGCAACAGAGGTCAGCTGGAGGTTGGGAAGAAAAAGTTGAGTTGGAAGGAATTCAGATTGCAAGTGGTTTTTAAAGTCAAGCTCCAGCGGTGAGAGCCAGGGGACTTGGAAAGAGAATGAAGGAGGTTGGGAAGTCTTGCTTGCTTAGCAAACCATGGGCCTGAGAACTGTGGGCACGTAATCCAGGTAAGTTTTCAAACAGGATTACAGTATTGTAAATTGAATATGGGGACAGGGAAATAGGTATAGATAGCTGTGGTCTGGTGTGAATAAAATAGATGTGTGTTCGTTGCTGTCAGAATAATTGATGCATGGGTTGGTGTGGGTGGGAACCAGGCTAGATTTGCAGCGGTGTGCTGCACATGAGAGCCAATGTCAGTGTAATGTGTATTTGTAAGGACCTTAAAGGGATTGGAGGAGGAGAGACCAGTGCAGGATGCTAGGGGTATTATTGGCACTGGAAGAAGCAGGGGAAAGTGCAGTGTGTGATACTGGAAATTGCTTAGAGAGATATCTTGTTTTATTTCAGATAAGATGGAGAACTACTTTATTACAACAGTGTGTTTTGCTGCTGACCTATGTTGTAATTATACTGGAAGCAGTGCCTATAGATGTAGATAAGACAAAAGTACAGGAGGAAGAAAAAGAAGACAGCGCAAAAGTAGATAATACGGTAAGTTATTTAATTAAATATTATTTTATTAATGGTAGCTTTTTCAACAACACAGTATTTCAGACTGGAATGTAATACATTACTGGTGTTTAGTATCCTCTGTGGCTTGCAATTCTGCTGCATCCAGACATTTCCCTGTTAGCTTCTGGGAATATTAGAGCCAAAGAAAGAGAAGAAAAAGTTAAAGAAAAGCAAAGTGATGTTTAAATCATTGTCCTGGGCCAAAAGGTTACTTCTCACTAAGTATATTTAGGTATCTTTAATTTAGAGAAAAGAAGACAAAGAAAATGCCTGCTCTTAAGTATTTTTAAACATATCAAAGAGGAGGTGAAAAGTATTCCGTTGACCTACATAGGATGGGATTAGCTCAAATTCTGACATTTACAGGTAATCCTCCATTAACGACCATTCTTTCAGTGAGGCCTTGCATAGCGCTGACAGCCATCACTGTCGCCCAGGGAGCCACCACCTGCACCGCTGTCCTGCCTCTTCCCAGGCCAGGCCTGGCAAGCTCCCTTTGGCAGACAAGACTCCGCCACCTTGCCGTGCCCACCGTGTATGTCTCACGGCCTCGCCCAGTGCCTGGATCCTGGGCCAGCAGTGGAAGGAAGAAGATGGTGAAGGTCGATGGGAATGGCAGGGGGAGGTGGTGACCATGGAGTGCAGGGTGGCCAAAAGTGCAGAGATGGAGGGGAAATAGGCGGATGAGGGAAATTGAAGCACGCGCTGTGGTCATAAATGTGGGCCAGTTGCCAAGTGCCCAAATTTTGATCACGTGACCACGGGGGCACTGCAACAGCCATAATTTCGAGAACCGGTCGTAACTACCATTTGTTCAGCGCCACTGTAACTTTGAACGAATGGTTGTTAAGTGAGGACTATCCGTAAATGCCTGAATTTGAGCTAATTCCATCCTATATGGGCATAAGGAATACTTTTCATCTCCACAAAAGGGCAGAAATGGGGGGGAGATAGGCAGGTGGGGGGAACTGAAGCTGAGGCAAGCGTGGCAGGGCGGTGGAGCCTTGGCTGCTGAAGGGAGCTTGCCGGGCCTGGTTGGGGAGGAACAGCAGGACGGAGACAGCAATTTGTGCAGGGCAGGAGAAGTGTGAGGTCCTCGCCTAAGGATGGCGAGGTCCTCACCTAACAACCATAACTGAGACTACCAGAACTGCCTTTGCTAAGCAGCGCAGCCACATGGTGTTTTACCTAACAGCCACTTCGCTTAGCGATGTAAATTCTGTTTCCAATGAGGGTTGTTAAGCAAGGACTACCTGTAATTTATAGTGGAGCTTGGAAAAGGCTGGAATCTTTTTTTGATCCTTAAGCAACAGGATCCTTGATTTGGGTTTTTAAAGATAAAATTCATCAAATTCCTCTCATCTGACTTCTGGTCCTGAAATTTTTACAGGAAGATTAGCTTGGTCTAGGAAAAAATATATAGTTTGGTTTAAACTCACAGAATCCAACCTATGGTGGTCACTCTTCGCAAAGTGGGAGAGACTGTAATTATTTTCCTAAACAAAATTGGCCTGATTAGGAATCAGGCATTTGCTTTCTGTTAGCAGAATTATTTTAAGAAAGAGACTGAATTCACTGCATAAGAACTTGACAAACCTGATTTGCTTCTGAAGGAAAACAGGCTCAATAAATTCAAAGCAATCTGGCAATCTTTAAATGCATTGGAACTGTAAGACCAGTTCCTCAAACCTGGAAAGGTTAGCATTAGCTTGGGGAAGTCTTCATTATAACTTCAGAGAGAAAAGAGAGAAAGATTTCAACTTTGTAGGAGCCAGTGAAATCCAAAACTTGGCATTTCAAGTTGAACTGAACTTCTCATAGGATGTGTGTGTATTTATAATTAATTCTTGCTGTGTGAATTCATTTCATCTTCAGCACTGAACAACAAAAAGTTATAATAACTGGTTGTTAGAAAATCAGCAAGGATAAGGAAGACCTACTGTAAATGTAACATTTTTATGCAAAAAAGGAACATTTTTCATCCCTGCCTCTTCTTTATTAAGCTAATAATAATTATATGTATATCTTAAAGGATACTGGATTGTATTATGATGCCTACCTCAGGCAAGTAATAGATGTTTTGGAGACAGACAAACATTTCAGAGAGAAGCTCCAGTCAGCAGACATAGAGGAAATAAAGGTATGAATAATGACTAGCAAAGTGTAATAAAATGAAAATAATAATAAGATCTGTGGTTTTATCTTCCCTGTGTTCAGTGAGGGAAGTAATCACTTCCTTTGTCTCTGAAACAATACTAAATATGCAGCTTTTGGAAAAAGAAACTTAAATACCAAAACCTGGAATTCTCTGTTTCTAGGATGCAAGTCATGAATTTTATCATAGAAGAAACAATCAATGAAAAAATAAAATTAATTATTTTGGATCTTTGCCTCTATTGGTGTATTTACTTGTGTTATCAATTCATCTTTTTCTCATGGAATATTTATCTTGAAATCTTCTTAAGTTCTGCAATTCAAAACAAGGTCTATATTACCTAGCTTGCACTGATACAAATAACAACTGGGTTTTCACGTTGCTAAGCCAAAATCCAGTATGTGGATTTGACTAAATATGTTATGTGAATCCAGCAGCTCTGATCTGTAAACTATGACTTATGACTTAGTATTATGTATAAGCTCAGATGTTGCAGGTTATTCCCCAGTCCATAGCTTAAATATCATGCAGCCTTCAGACATTGCTGAACACAACTCCCACTACCTGGCAGCATGACAATTGAGGAGTGTGCTGGGAGATACAGCTCAACAATATCTGGAGGGCCACATTCAGTGAATCCAGTCTATGTAGTGCAAGTAGAAAGCTACAAGTATGGGCTCACATCTTTGGCAACTAGATAATCACAGCTCAATACAGAGGCAGCATAAACAGGAGCCTTTCCAGTGCCTTGGGGACACACCCAAAAATAGTGTTTTTGTTTATGTTAGGTGTATAGTATGTTATATTAAGGGTATAGAAGTCTGTATGTCTTCTAGTGCACCTGTAGTACAGAATAACTACTACAGTACTAACTGGAGTATTTTGAAGAGTTTTAGAAATAATTTATAGCATTCCTATGCTATGATCTTCTGGAGTTGTTTTATTCCTCCTGTATGCAGTCTTCATCTTGAAACAAATGTCTTATCCAGATTTAAATATCCACTAACCCATACTTTCCTGTGCAAGTGAGTAACTTTGCCTGTTCTCTGATGGATTGCAACCAGAAGTGGAAACAATGGGCCAATCCAAGATATCTAGTTTGTGTGATGCTGTTTGACATACAATGGCTAATAAGCCTTGGAAAGACAGCAGCTCACTTCAAGTAAGGACTGATTTTCCTTTCTGACTCCTAGCATGAAGAGAAAAAAACAACAACCCACAGCTGAGACATAATGTTGGGAATCTACCTGTGAAACTAATGTTAAATAAAAACTTTATAGATTGGCCTTAGCTAGACTGCATCTTAATAAGCCAAATTATCTCAATATATCAAGTTAGGACTAGTTACAGCTAAATTACAGCATGTATTCTTGGTGTCATCCACTGCCAAGATTTCAGTTCAATATAGATATGACGGTCTAATTCATAGTGATTATGATGTAGAAGATGCTGTATATGGTCAATTATAGTCTAAATATAGTTGTTTCAAGTTAGTGATACATCTTATAAAACGTTTCAGGAAAAGCAGAAATTGTTGCTAATGCTGAAAGCGTTGGCTCTACCTCTGGGTGGTCCTCAAAAAATCTGTCTGGGAGCGCTAAAATGTACATAAACTCTGTTACACCATTGTGCACCAGTCTTTAGTATATACTGTTTAGGCACCTTCTCAATCACTTTATTGATTTTCACTGAATTATTAAGTGAAAAAGATACTCACCAATGCTCATGCCCTCTGCTTTTAAAGTTTTGGTTGGAGTCTGAAGATTTCAAATCTTGGTTTCTCTTGAGAGAAAGTACTCAGTGCATTCAGTTTTACACAATGCATTCAGTTTTAGATGGTAGTACAGAACCAGTGAAATTATCTTCCAGAAAAATAATGACTCAATGCTTTGTTGTTGTTGACAGAGTGGAAAGTTAAGCAAAGAGCTAGACTTAGTTAGCCATCATGTGAGAACAAAGTTGGATGAACTGAAAAGACAAGAAGTTGCAAGATTAAGGATGTTAATCAAAGCCAAGATTGATGCATATCAAGGTAAGCACACAAAGGAAAAAAACAGATGAGTTGACAATAATGTTTCAGTTGTCTCCTTCATTTACAGCTGTGCTTAAATTAAAAATATGTTTCTGTGTTTTTCTTGACATCATTACTCATTCTTGTTCCTTTTAGAAATCAGGGATGATCAAGACAAGCTCATTCTGAAGAAACAACAAATGCAAAACAAAGAAATAACAGATGCAAAATAAATTATTTGAAATTGAATCAGTTTAAAGAAGAGAATCCAACTAAGCTTTCCATTTTGACATTGCCACATAGCTTTGTGTTTTTTAAAAAGTAAACTAATCAAGTAAATCTCTGCATAGGATCAATGCAATATTTCAAATAATACTAATCTATATTTCCAAATAATGAAAAATCAGCATGTGTAATGACAACTTAACTTTGACTGTGGAACAGTTTGAATCCTTCTCTACAGCAGCTGGCAGCACTTAAGTGACCTTGGCTGATTTAAAAAAGTTAAACTGAGTCAGACCTGGATAGTATTTAGATGGGAGCCCTTGGTCTGTATCCTTGGTCTGTAGACTAAAGTGGGAATTCAAAAAAGCAACAATCCAGAAGAAGGCAATAGCAAACCACTTCCATATTGATATCAGGAAACAATATGTGCTTGTCAACACTAGGAGTCAAGATGACATTGGAGAATTAGGGCCAGTTTACACAATCATTCCCTTTACATTTCTTTCTCCTTCTATTTTGACTAAATCTATTCCACACCAGAACCTATCACTACACTGTAGGTGACTTCTCAGATATTATGAAGATTGGAGTGGGCTGTAGGAAGAAAGCATTTCATACCCAACCAGTGTTGCCTTAATGGGGTTCTGTGAATTATTTATATACATACATACATTCATACATATTTAGTTCTCTGATTATACCCAAATAGGGTAAAATAAATAATGAATATTATTAATAAAATATTGTTACTTTAAAATCTATTTTCTCCCTCTTCTACAGAGGCTCTCAAAAGGCATAATTCTTTGGAGAGGGATAGGAATATAATTTTCTGGTTGGAAATGGCTAGTGCTCTTATTTCCTTACTAACAATTGTTTGGTGTATTAAAAAAAAACTGGGAAGACTAATTTGATGTAGATGTGAACCTGCATCTTGCTTGGATGAGTATATCATATCAACAAGTAGGAAATGTAGAGAAGTTTTTCTCTAAGAATGTTGTCGTATTTTGGGAACACTTTGAATCTTCCTTCCTTCCTTCCTTCCTTCCTTCCTTCCTTCTTTTTAACACCCAAGCATTGTCCTGTGCAACCTAAATTTATTCATAATCTCAAGCATTCAATGCTGGTCCAGTTGTAAGTTTTTTCTGTCTCTTATCGATAGCCTCTCCTGACTAGTGTAATTTCTCATTCTCTGCAAACCTTGACTCTATGGTTAAGGCCAAGCAGATTCTTATAATCTTTGCAGCAGCAGGCGTTTAAGCCAATTGAGAAATTGTCTTGAGATTAGAGGAGAGAATTACCCCAACGGAGGACAAAGTTTTGGCCTGTCCTCAGCAAGCCTATTGTCCTCGGGTGCCATGGAGGAAGCCATCCTATCACCAGGGTTGAAAACAATTCAAGGTCTGGGCTAGTCAGCTTTTATATCTGGAGAGTATTTGTGTGTGTATGGGGGGAGGGGGTGCTGGTAGCAACAAAAAGTATCTTATTCAGACCTACCTTTTATATGCCCTTGGTATTTTTCATCTGATTTAAAACCTCCCCTGAACCTTGTGAATGCTGTAGATTATGAATATCTTCTTACAATATAAATTGCATTTTAAAATATGCTCTTGAATTCCACCCAGTGCTTGTTGTATTGTATCTATTAATGTAGTCACAACAGTTCTGTTTTTGTGTGGGTTGTTTTTAGATTCTGGCATAGACCATCAAGCTCTTCTCAAACAGTTTGAGCATCTGAACCATCACAACCCTCACACTTTTGAAGTTAAAGATTTAGACATGCTAATCAAAGCTGTAAGTGTTCAGCAAATATTTTCTCAGATGCTTGTTTGCTCTCTTTAAAAAAAACTATATTTTATATTGATCTGCAATTCTTCTCCCTCTCAATTTCTCAGTTTTAAATATCTTTCATAGTTATATCAGGAATCGTAACTTGGAACCCCATTTGAATCAATAATATAATGTTGTGCTACAGAAAACTTGTGCACTTAACCATGCCCCCCCCCCCCAATCTGCTCATGTTCCTTGTAATGCATCATGGAATGAGTGTTATCATGCCAGTATAAGCGGCTTTCTGTTTATACTAAGTCTTTAAACTGAGCCAACTTAATTCCTTCTCACATTTTGTTATATTTGGAAGTATCTTTATATTAATCAACCAAATAATGTTTTACTGGATTAACAATCTGCCTTAATTAATATACAAATCAGTTTAAATGTAGTCAGTTTTCCAAATGACATATTATTTTGCAATATTAAGAAGGTATAATCTAATTTGCAAGGTAAAAACAATATGACCTCCCATTCGGTGCTGGGAGGAAAAGCCTTTTTAATTCAGCAGAACCTGAATAGCTTTAAAATATAATTAAGAATAACATCTGCTCCACAGATAAATCAACTACTGCATTTGTTAATTAATCTATTAATTAAAACACTGTTTTTTTAAAAAAATTAAATTCATATACACGTGGTCTTTTCTCTCTTGAGGGCTTCCATCGGGGAACAGAATTGCATGTATGAAATATATAAATATTTGAAATAAATGAATGTATGAATGAATGTGTAAAGATAGGACAGTCTTTTATGAAAGAAGCTGTCCCTGCATGCTGGGACGAAAGAGGAAGTTAATGCTCCTCCCCTCCCAACTGAGCAGCAAGAAAACAACACTCTGTGCCCACACCCGACAGGTCAATGATCGGGGCTCCTATCTTGTGGGTCACCAAAATAATAGTCAAGAGGCACAGATTGCACATATATGATAGAGATAAATGATCCAAACATAAATGCACAGCCTCTTTTGAGTCAAACACTAAACTTGGAGAGATGTGCTGGGAGTTACATTTCAAAAACTAAATGGGCTCAGGTCTAAAACGAATTAATTAAATACAGTTAATTAATAAGAATCTTCCTCTTCTGATACCGGAACAATTGACGGTTTTGTGGTAATCTTTGGGGGTGTTTGGGGGCTGCATTTAAAGATTTGGTGAGTCCCAAACAGGCTCAAATTGTGCCCCTCTACTTTAAAGTCCCCATGGCCAGTCAGTTTCATTATGACAGCAATTGTTAACAATCATATTTCAAAATAGGCCAGTTTTGTTATTCCTATATTGTAGATATGGAGGCAGAGGCTGAAAAAAGTGAGCTTTTAGCACCCCCTAGTGTTAGTAACATTTATTATGGGATATTTAGTGGCAGAGAATTGTATTGCTGCTGTTACACCATACCTTTATAAGTGAAGCAGGAGTTTGAAGAAACAGTGCTGAGTTTTCTCTGTGGGAGGAATTAATGCTGCTGAGTACCAGTGTAAGAATAAAAAAGAATTAGAATGCCAGGGAGAAAAACATGAATACAGAAATACTGCTGGTGAACTTGTGAATAAGGTATCTAACCAGCCAGTAAAATGGAGGCATTTCCTCTACATTGTGTTAATTAAAAAAGAAATATTGTTGGAGAAAACCTGATGATTCAACATTGAACACAACAAGCAGGTGAAGGAAGAGTGGCGGAGGGTAGTATTAGTACAGTGGTACCTCGGGTCACAAACTTAATTCGTTCTGCGACTCTGGTCGCAACCCAAATCAAATTTTCCCATAAGGTTCAGTGTA